TATATATATAAAGTATAAAAAAGAGTGTAGATGTGTAAAAGTTTGTACAATTTTATACAGTTATTTACATTCAATGACTTTAATGAAAGTGTGACCACTTTGACATCAAATTGGATTCCTGCATATTGGTTACCAAACAATTTGTCCCCCAAATAATAATGATATTTTAAAACAATTGCTTATTTATTTGAACAAAGGAGACTGAGAATGAACCTTTAATTGAAAATGAGACTTTAATTCTTTTCTCTCTTTTTATGAATTACACCATGAACACTCTATTCGGAAATTAAAATCATCATAGAAATGTGTTTTCATTCTAGTATGAATAGCCTCTCTTGGTGTATTTTTGAATAACATATAACTCACTGACCCATATAACAGACACAATCAAGAAAATTGCAGAATTTGCAGTTGATGGAAATATCCCATGAAAACTGGCTCCTGGAAAGCACCTTTAGACCACAGTTCACATGTCACAGCTTTAGGATTAACAAAGTTGTAAGCTATTTATAGGGGGATGTTTACAGTTCGTTTTACTGTTTTAACATGGCTTTATTGATTCTAGTTTTATCACATTAAAAACAAAAGGATTTCAGGGAGGGTTGATTTGTCCAAATATATAGTCAATAGATCTCATTAGAATATACATGTGTAATGGAAGGTGACCGAACATCAGACCTTAAATGCTGATGGTTTGTGGTTTCTGACTTGAGCTGTGTCATGTTCATCCCTGCGCAGTCACAGACACGTGAGAGCTGCAGCCTTCTAGAGTTTCACTGGACAAGAGGGGCTCTCACTTTTACTTCAATACTTAAGCCTTTCTGACCTAATAGCTTAATGGTCAATAGAACTGAAAAGTAGATAATATCACATTTTATGTGATAGACCATATTATTGGCAGCAATTTTGAGATTATGGCCATAATCAATTGGAATAATAATAATAATAATTTTTTCATGTTTTTGAAAGAAGTCTCTTATGCTCACCAAAAAAAAAAAATATATATATATATATATTTATTAATGACTTTTTAACTTCAAACAGTGGTTGATTTTTCTATACAGTACATTTTGCTTTTTTTTTTTGCTGTTACTAATATTTTACTATTTAAAAAGCCAATAATAGCCTTTAAAGCTTGTGACAACATGCCCCACTGCTGGGTCACAAAATGAACATGATACAGTGAACTGCGTCTTGTTTGTTGGACAATAATTATGGTGTTTTTTAATAGCTGCACAGAACATTTCAAAATAAATGTGAGTATAACAAAGACACGATTGAAGTTTGAAAATTTCCCATTGACTTATTGATGTCATTGCAGTATTTGCATACTGAATTGTGATTGGTCTTTTTTCTTGCATGTATTTGCACACCAAATTGCAACTGGGTTTTTGCTCTCCTATTGTTACTATACAAATAATCATGTCAGTTTAATCTTAATGTCTGTGTTATTTTATGATTTGTTGACAATTTATTTGCTTTGTTATACTCCTGTAAAAATATGCCATGATTGATTTATTTAATAATGACTAACGTTATATGCCACTATTCTTTCAACAGCCATGTCCTTCAGGAGGGGTGTTGTCAGGCAGAGTAAGTTCAGGCATGTGTTTGCCCAGGCTTGGAAGGCTGAGCATTGCCTCGATGATGTCAGAGTATCGCGCGTGACATGGGACGGTCCGCTGTGCGCTGCCAATCCGAAGCTCATTGCTGTTGTCATTGAGGCCGGAGGAGGCGGAGCCTTTCTTGTGTTACCGCTCGCCAAGGTTGGCATGCGTTCTCTCGCAATAACAATGCCTTAAATATGCCCTGAGGATTTACAGTTGGTATTTTACATTAGTTTGCATAATCAAATGGTTCTGCTCACATAGTTTCTGTGTGTCTTAACACTAGAGCGGTCGAGTGGACCAGAACACCCCGACCGTGTGCGGTCACGCCGCTCCGGTGCTGGATGTGCAGTGGTGCCCACATGATGACAATGTTATTGCCAGTGCCTCAGAGGACTGCACTGTCAAGGTTTGCTTCCTTCCCCTTAACAAAACCTACACATCAGTTACTGACTTATAATTATTTATTGCGTGAATATAGCATCACTGGGGCTTTACATGGTACATATTGTTAGTTTTGTTGAATTTGAGCATTTTAGCAGTTGGGTAAGTACTGTATTGCAATAATTATCTAAATATTTTCAACCTTTTATATATGACTTGAAATCATGTTTTATTTTTAGTCAGAGGAACCATCATTTGGACTAAACATCCAAACACAAAATATACTTTATGCACAAATTTTATATATGGGTCAAAGACGAAAAGGGTGTTTCAAGCATCAAAAAAAAAAAAAAAGTGCAATACAGCTTTAAGTTTTGTTTTTCCCCCATATGTGTCCTGTTTAAGTTTATATTTTTCTGAACAAAAAAAAATTATTATCATGCATTTTTTACCATGTTTGTCATTCAGTGTAACAATATTTATATACCAAAAAATCTTGTTAATTAGTTTTAATAATATTCCTGAGTAAATGACTGCAGAAACAGATGTTGAAATATAATAAGCATTTTCCTGATGCTCCCCTGCCATGCTTGCTTAGCTTGTCACCTTGTTTCTGACTTGCTCGGCATCAAAAATTCCTGCTTGCAGCCACATTTATTAATACTTTCTGTTTGCAAACATAAATGACATTATCAGGATGAGTATTTGGGGTGGGCCTCAGTGATCTCTCTTGAACTACTGACATACTGTAGTGAGGGGGTTTCTCTGCCCAGAATTATTGGCAAGCTATTATTCCAACAATTAGAATCCTCAATACCCTTCTCTTTTCCTGGCTAAAGGCACGTTCACACCAAGCACAGTAAAGATAAAGATAAAAAATAATAATAATTCAAAAAAGAAGGAAAAAATCCCTTCTGTATAAAATGATTGCAGATTCCACAGCACAACTAACGATAACTGCACAGAGAAACGATATTGTTGGAATCTCTTTTATATTGTTGGATATTGATGGATTTTTTTTTTCCAGCTGATGAATGATAAAAGCATTGACAGCCAATTAGCATTCATTCAACTTTAAAGAGCTCAAGCATTTAAAGTGGCAGACAAGAAATCTGCAGCACATGCTTAGAATGAACAGTGCTATTGTTCATCGGTGTAGAGGCTAACAGTTACTATTATAGTTATTTTATAGTTATTGTTCTTGGTGTGAACA